GCTGCCTGCAGTTTATGCCATAGATCCGCGGATATGGGAAACCCAGAGGCTGTTCGCGAGTAGCCTCGGTACTGGGCTAGTAAATGTCGCGACAAGCGGCGGCGGGAGAGAGCTGGCATGGTTGCGACGATGGTGAGGAATGGGCGAGCGAGACTGGTAGAGCTTCATCGCCGTGATGATGCATGGCGTGGTGCATGTATTTCAGTCCACGTGCTTCCTACGCCATGGCGTTTGTCGTTGTGGTTCAGATGTTCGTCGTCGGGTTCGCTGCAAAGCTGGGAAGAGGGGCTGTCGGCTATAGCACTGGCCGCGTTTGGTGACGCAGCACCTTTGGATGCCAAGCGTCGTACCGTACGATAGGCGGAACCGGAGCTGGTCTGTGATTTTTGGAGACGTTCAAAAAATGGATGGAGGCTTAAGATGGAGACCGCTTTGCAAGACGTAAGAAGGACCGGATTGTCTGCGAATTGATGAGACTGAAGCTGTTGAGGATCGTTGAGGTTCTGGTGAAGAAGCAACTGCACCTCAGCGAACAGGGGATGGCGGACAGTGCTGCACCGCGCGCTCAACAGCACCAGGCCGTCATCCCTCAGCAGCGGCAGCGGCTGCTGCTGCTGCTGCTGTCACTGGCGGGCTCAGGCGAGGCTTATCGCATCTCTTATCAGCATAAGGCGAGGCCCCAGGGTTTGATCCACAGTGACAACAGTGAGCCAGACCCTTAGACCCTGGACTCGCAAGTCACGACGTGCTGGCTCATTTGCATTCCATGATTCACGTGGAGATCCTGATCACTTCATTTTCACATTAACATAGGTATCACGCATCTTCCTGCTGCCAAGGAAAAGGTATCTCGTGTGGAGAGAACACCGTAAGCACCGCCTGAAGTCGCCTCGGCCGCCGGTCTGATCATCTCCAGAGACTCTCTTCACCCCACCCAACCCCTCTCTCTGAGGTCCATGTTCATGTTGCCCCCTTGCGGCAACTCTCTCAGGCCAGGATGGACGACGCCGCTCCTGGCCAAGATGGAGATACATCGGACTCGTCGTCCAAGAACACGCCCGCTGTTGTCGAGATCTCACCTCGAGGCGAGGTGGTCCTGGACGTGAGCTTTGAGACATCCAAAGAGACCATCCGCACGGCAAGAAAGGCCCACCAGGCTGCCACGAGGAAGCCAGGGGCGCTGCGGATTCCCGAGCCAAACTTCAGTCCCTTTTTCAAGGTGGCCTTCCGAGTGGAGCTTGCCGTCTTGCAGAGACACTCCAAGTACTTCGAGAACCTGCTGGGCAACACCCAGTTTGCCGAAGCGAGGCTTGTCCAGGAGTCGCTGGCCAACCTCACCGTGGAACAACGTGCATCAGAGGACACCGACCTCACAACTCTGCCGTGGATCACCATTACCGACGATGATGAGGCCACACGCTCCATCGGCCGTGACAAGGTCTTCGGAGACATGCTGAGGATACTCCACGGACAGCCCGTGCAGACGCCGGCAACATCGATCAACATGCTCTTTGTCACGACATTGGCTATCCTTTCGGATCGCTTCGATTGCCGGTCCGTAATCGCACGGTCTCTGAGCTCGAGTCTGAAGCTCAAGTGGCCCAAGACGAGCAACAGAGCGTTGAGAGCCGACAGCGGCAAGAGTGCTCTGGGAACAGAGCAGGTGTTGCGCCAGAAGATCCTCGTCTCCTGGCTCCTCGATCAGCCGATGAAGCTGCACGACGCCACACGAGAGATCATCCTACGCGGGTCCTCTCACTGGAGTGCCCTCGTGTCCTACGATGAGCTACCCAGCACAGAAGCCTGGTGGAACCTGCCAGATGATCTTGAACGTAGGTTGCCTTCTGATTCAGCCGAGCAAAATCAAGCTTGTACTAGACGAACACAAATATCTGACAAGAGCACCAGACGAACTCCAGCACCGCCGCGAGGCAATCCTCAACACCATCGCCTCCGTCCAGCGGCACTTCCTCGCCCTCTACTCTTCCCGTGATCGCCAGTGCAAGCTCGGCTACGACTCGTCCTCGGCATGCGACTCGTTCCAGCTCGGCCAGATGCTCAAGTTCCTCACGAGCAAAGATCTCCTGCGCCCCGTCGACTTTGGCCCCAGCTCGCTCGAGGCCCTCCCAGACGCCGCAACCCTCGACATCGACGACCTGCTCGTCACCCTGAAACAGAGCCCCAGCTACCAGGTGGACAAGAACCATACTAACTGCGGCCTGCGCACGCGCCTCGACCCCATTGTCGACTTTATCCGCGCCATGCTGTCCACCGAGGTCGTCGGCATCCGCGGCGCCGAGTGGCGGAGAGACCGCGGCGCGAGTTCGTGGGCGCGGGCGGCGGAGGAGCGCGAGGCCGTGCCGCACGGGGCCGAGGACAGGAAGTTTGCGTTTACGCGGGGCATGGCGGGCGATCAGCGGCTGCGGTATGAGGGAAACATGTACGCGGATAAGATGGCGCGGAGCCTCTTCACTGCCGACGCATGGGATTGGAGCCCGGAGTATTAAAAATCGGCGGGCTCTGCGGAGGTTCCTTTACCCGCACACGTGGAGACATCGTCGACACAGGCTAGTGCAGGCTATTCAAACGACTGTCCCGTCGACACTGTGGCGGAATGATCTCCTGCGCGGTGGAAACGAAGACGAACAGCGGCTCATCTTGGAATAAAATGTCATGAATGATAATCCTACAACCAATAGATCAAAAATAAGAAACTTAGACAGGTGGTCAAGGTTACTAGTAGCGACAGGACCCCTCCCCCCCCTTATCTCGCATCCCCAGACAAGCTCTCCACCGACGCCTACAGGGAGGTCATCAGGGGAAGCCGCCATCGCCTGAATACGAGCGCCGCAAGGAACCGGCGAGCTTGAGCCGCCCAAGCACCCCTTGACCATGCTCTCCAGATCTGCGTGACTCGCGTGAGGTGACAGCAGGGCTGTGGAGCCTATTCTATTATCTTTTTCAAGACCTCGATGCAACTTTGATTTCACCAGGACATGCAGCCACTCAGCCTTGTAGGGCGAGATACCGGCTGCTGACTCCAAAAAAAAAGAAAGATACTCACGCATCCCTGCATACCGAATGATGGCAAGTTCGCAGCGGAAAGGAACTTCTTTCAAGGTTTATATCGAGGAAGTAAAAAAACAGAAAAAGAAAGTGCAATTTGCTTGGTCTATCTAAATGTACAACGAAGCTTCCCGACTCCATATTAGACCGACCCTCCACTTTCTCTTGGGAGGGTCATGCGGTTGGCCATCTGATCCGGCCGCTTGCTCAAACGTCTTCACGCATCATACTGGGCCATATTGGGACCCATGGCCGCCCTCCTCCGAGGCTTTGAAAAGACGGGGGACCATACCGAGACAATACATCCCGATCCGGCGCTGCCGGTCGCTGTTCTGACGACTTCCGGCCCTCCTCTTCTTTTTTCAATGCGTGCGCAGCTCCTTCGTGAATCCAAAAGCCCCCCGAGTCTTTCCAGATAGGTCTGGCCTGGGACTCATCAGGCAACGCCGACCTTTCCAACCTTGCGAGCTATCAAGAACCTCCCGCTCCGGCAGGGCGAGGTCCTTCCCATGATCCGATAATGTGAAACTCAAAAGGAAAGAAATCCTCCCCCCTTATTTTCTCTTGCCGTCTCGCAACCCCCTCGCCCCCGCCGTCGGTACGCAAGGTAAGAAAAGCGTAGAGCCGAATTATGTGCAGAAAGTTTGTAGACGCGAATTAGAAAGAGGAGACATCGCCACTGCGAAGCTGTATCAGATGCAGAGTCGGATGAGGAGACGAGTACGAGTATAGTAGAAGATCTTTCAGTCAGGGCCACGTCAAGCATAACTCAAGCCTCTTCTTCTTCTTGGGGAGGCCCTGTTCCGCCTTACCTGCAGGTTGCCCTCGGCCGAGCCACTTGCTCGCGTTGACGAGCTGGGCGACGTTGATGAACTGCTTGGCGGCCATGACGGGGAAAGCTGACGCCGGTTGAGGACCAGGGCCAGAACGAGTCCATCCTTGTTGGCGCCGGGCAAGCTCGAGCGCCGCGGCGCTGTAGGGGTTCGTGAAGATGGCGCTCAGGAGCGACGTGTTGACCCTGGGCACCGGCCTGGATCTGGGCGGCACCCCGTCTCGCCGACGCTCTTGAGCAGAGAGGGAGAGAGGAGCGGCGACGAGAAGGAGAGGAGGTACAAGGCGATGAAGAAGAGCTCGTTGAGGGCGCAGAAGACGAAGAGGACGGTCTGTTGGTTGGAAAGAGGGACTCATTAGCAGGCTGCGCGTGTTGCGTGCAGGGGGGATGGACAAGACATACCTTGTTGGTGTAGTAGAGGTTCAGCATCCAGTTGCGCTCCTTATCGACATTCTTGTGGCTGGTGCCGGCGCCGCCCATGGTGAGCGAGGCGTACATGTGCATGTAGTGGCTGGCAAAGTCGAGGGTGATGAGGAGCTGGAAGACGATGGTCCAGCGGGGGAAGGCGCAGGCCAGGAACATGAGGAGGCAGGATGTCGTGCACCTGTCCGTGACCATGTCGAGCACGGCGCCGAAGCGTGTCGACTGGTCGAAGATGCGAGCGGCGTACCCATCGAGGGCGTCGAGGAGACAGGAGACGCTGTAGAGGAGGGAGCAGGTTCGCGGGTGGAGCGGCATGTAGTAGAGCGAAGCGATGGCGAGGACGATGCGAACGTAGCCTTAGATTTCGGCGTCAGCATTACTGGCGAAGACGTGGACAGCCGAGGTCGGCCGCCGAGGATGATAGTACGAACCAATAATGTTGGGATAGAAGACGAAAATATTCTCTTCCTCGACTACCGCAGTAGAAGAAGCGGCCGTGGCGGCGGTGCCATTGCTGCTGGATTTGGCGCTGGCGTTGCCGTTGCCGTTGACCAGGGGCTGCTGCTCCGGAGAGGCCTTGCGCGAGACCTTGGACGAGCTGGAACTGGATTTCTTCGAGGATCGGGTTGACGAGGACATGGTGTCAGATTTGATTGTGGGGGTGGTAGGGAGCAAGCAAGAGTTCTTCTTAATTCGGTGCGTGTCTCTGGAGGCGCGATACCGTTGAGGGTCGACGCTGAGGTGTCGGTCGGTTGAGAGACGAGAAGGGGGTTTTGCGACGGAGGGCTCGGATGGGCACGATAGCTCCGATAAGATGATCCGTTCTGTGGTGATCGGCGCGCGTCGAGTGGCGGCAGGGTCGGGCAAGGAGGAAAAGGAGGGCGTCAGGGGTTGTAGATGGGACGAGATGGCGCGGGGATTTGTCGAGATTCGTCAACCGGAATACGTGTTGAACAGAAAAGGAGTGCTGACGAGAAGATGAGATTCGAAAAATGGAGAGATGCGGCCACGACAGCACGGGTGCTTGATTATTGGACAACTTATCTTGGCCTGTCCCTCTCTCGCCCTCTCTGTTTTTTTTGGGGTAGGGTCGGACCTGTCATGGACCCGACAGCTGGGCTCCTTGCTAGGGTGCTGGTAATAGGCTACTGGGTGGTGCATGGCCCTGAGCACCTAGGGGTCTGTCACTGACACAGCACGGCGGCTTGGGCGGACACCATGAACTACACGGGAAGGTGCTAGATAAGGGGACGAGATAAGAACCCCGATTATGGACCTTCGATGATAAGCCTGCCTCGGGTGTCGATGTCCGAATGCTGTGTTGAATGGAGGTCCCCAACGGCCAAGACAACCACCAATTTTGCTGAGTCAGCATCCACCATCTGTGTCTAGATGAGGCAGTAAACAGGCTTTCTTACTATTCTCTCTCTCTCTCTTCTCCCCTAGATTCAGTTGGGACCCTTGACCGCTGCCGTCGGGCACTGGCCAGCTAGGTACTAAAGGCGTGCGACTGACCGATGAACGGACATGCGCGTCCGGCTTGGCTGGCCATCCTGTAACGTAGCAGCTGCGTTCATTGTAGGCATAATATTCGAGCAGGACGATCCTCGACTTGTACAGTGCCCTGAATGAACCGACGGGTATATCGAAGGATTCCCCCATCTCGACCCCGACAGCCTGCCGATTGCCAGCCCAACAAATCAATCCTCTTGTCCCATAGTGTTTTGCCTCCCATACCCATATGCGCGGGCAACGCATGCCCTTCTCTGAACGTTGACCGGTCTAGTACCTTCGGGACATGTTGCTCCTGCGGCCCGAAACTTTTGACTTGGAGAGGGCAGGCTTGCTGTTTGGGCATCGGCATGAGCTAGCCCTTTGAACAGCTTAACCACCCTGGCAGTCGACCTGCATCGCAGAAGAACGATGCACATGCCGACTCAGGGACAACGCCACGGCTGCGGCCGACAACGACCTACTTAACCGCCTCGGCGCACAAGGTTTGTTCGCAAGTGGGAGACCAGTTGGTTGCATCCAGTGTTATCCACCTGCCTCACTGCAGAGGACCGAGAGGGACACCAGAAAATGGAGGGGGCACAGCACAAAGCCACCAACCGCCAACAGTTCGTCGAGTTGATGCTCGGCACATCAACGCTGCAGGAGTCAGGATCCCTGGGTGCCTTAGTTCTGACGCTATCCAACAGACATGGCCCTTGTCGCATCGGCCCGCCCGGAGCACCTAGCATGGTGCTTTGATGGATGGCGTCTGGCTTCGAGCGAACTGACATGTCATCGAAAGCCCCCCCTCCTTCCCTGCCTCCGCGTCGAGCAAAATTGTGCGACGACAACGGCAAAAGAGTGAGGCAAACAGCCTTCACGACGACGCAATGCCTTGGACGAACAAGGCGAGACATGCCGGCACTCGAATCATCAGGGAGCATGGGGGGGCACTGAGCGGGAGGGCTTGGCCGCGGCAATCAGGGACCCCTTGCCCAGCGCCACATGTCACACCCAATAATCCCCCTCCTTCTGTCCTCCCCAGTGGTGGTCTCCATCCTCAAGCACCAATCCACCAGGGGGTGAGGATGCGAGGAGGCCGCGGGGAGTCTGGACTTTGATACCCGGTCAAGGAGCCGTGATCACGCCGTTCAGCTCACCCAGTCGGGTTGTATGCCCATCAAATCCAAGGAATGGGGAAAGCGAAGTCAGTTGGCCTGGGTCAGACTGGGAGACTGAATGGAACCCCCCCCCCCGCCTCCTCCCTCCCTTTCCACCCTCCCGTCCCCCCACACTGGACTCACAACAAAATTCAGGTTGACGTGTCCGAGTCCCCGATCTGTTGCTGAAAGCGTGCGTCGTCGTCGCGATAGGTTGCAGTAGGGCAGTTTGCTATGACGCCTCATCGTGCCATTGCTACATTGCGGTAATGGAGCTTGGGGACTTGAAATGCTTGCTTTTCTTTTCTCGCGGAACGTTCCGGGCGAGGCCTCTCACACTTTCAGACTCCCTGACTGGGGTCGTGCCGCCCACTCCCCCCCCCCTAACTGTGCGCTGGATGTCTTTGTGATGTGAAAGAAGAAGTGTTCCGAAACCCCAGTGCGCCGGCCGGCACCTCAAACAGGCAATTTGCCATGGACCAAGGTACAGCAAGAGCGTCATCAGAGACATGATGGGGAGTATGTTTCGTCCCGTTGCTTTGGCACCAGCCCAGCCATCAAGCATGAGCGTGGCCTTGTAGAGGACTTGACTTTTTGAGTGAAGACCTACCTACCTACCTAGCTAGGCACACCTCCCACGAAATGGACTACCTAGCACCCAGAATAGGTGTGTCTGGGCACATCGAGGCACCGACCCGACTTGCCTACCATGCACCCTGTCCCTGGACTGACCCTGAACGACCTCACCACTCACAACCCCCGGTCTCCTCACCATCAAGGCCCCATGTCGTTGGCTTGTCCAGCGTGCTGGCGCGCCCCCGCCGCCAGGCGCCCCCCTGCTAGCTGCTAGCTGCTAGCCCCTCCCCCTCACCTCTCACTT